GTATTCATGTTAAACGCAAATGTAAAACTGTGTTTCATGAAATTGAAAATAAAATAGAAATGTACATGTAATCTTAAAAGCTTGATAAGCAATGAACACAAGTACACAATGTAATGAACACGTTTATTGTTTAGGTTGTGTTTTTTAGTGCAAGATGTTTTGCATTGACCTTGTACAGCTTCCGCAGTAGATTGACATATTAGATTGAAAACCGTATGGGTCTTCAAATTTGTAACTGTGTTAAATTATGAGATTAAGCATATCCTGATCTTGGCGTGTCAGCTTCATAAGGGATGAAGCCCAGGAGTAGCGCAAGTCCCACACCTTCACCACTTCAGAATTCACTCTGCAGGGTCTAACACTGATAAATCTCAAAACCATAAGCAGACTGTACTATCAATTTCAGACATGATACCACAGAGTCGGCATTTGGTTCTCTTGCCATTTGCATCAAGCTCAAATTGAGCCCAAACACTCAACTTAGCATGCGTGTCGTCCATATTGCTCTAGGTTAGAGTTACCTGCCCTTGTCATTACTGAGTTCTCTCCCTTTCCGGGTACTCGATTCCTTGAAATAGGACTCGATTCCAGCTGTACCCGACCCGGATTCGAGTACCCGAGTATCCGTCCCAGCCCTAGCAGTTTCTATGGTAAATACACTGACACAACATACCCTGTCTGTTACAAGTCTACATGGGCGACGAAAAGTCCTTGACCTTCATGTTCCGGTCCGAAGGGCTGCCAACACAACACAAGGGGTTCGCCCTCCAATACCACGTGACTCCGGGTAGCCGCGCTCTTTGCGAAGGGCATGTCTGCAAGTGCAGTGATGACTTCATTCCTGACTTTATGGGGTGTTGCGCATGCAACAGGAACCATTCCGGCAATGGTTCAGAACCCTTTCCTGTTCACAACTGTAAGTTGATTTACGTTTTGTGTTGTTTGGCAGTAGGAGTAACACAGAAGTAAAAAAAAGCCTACTATCTGGAGTGAGTGAGTTGGGTTTTAGAAATATTCCAGCAATATCACGGCGGGGGACACCAGAAATGGGCTTCACATATTGTACCCATGTGGGGAATCGAACCCGTGACTTCGGCGTGACGAATGAACGCTTTCACCACTGGGCTACCCCACCGCCCCCTTACCACCGTGGATGGATCTAGGATCGGAGTTATTGTCGGGTTACCGACATGCTAGCCCTTGAGATAGAGAATAAAATAGAGAGAAATATTTTAAAGTGTTGATTTGGGTATGAATTTATGCCGCTTTTACAAATTGTAAAATATTGTTCCTGCAATATCATGGCGGGCATAAGAAATATGCTGGACCCATTGTACCAATATTGGGAACTGAACCACATCTTCAACGTGATTAACGAACGCCTTGACCACTGGGCCACGCCGCCGACTCATTTTCATAACCGATCAATCTTCTTGGTAAAGAGTGTCATTAAACGATCTTAACGAAACTGTATTGGTTGTCTCAGCTTGCAGCAGGGTCTACGATAACAACAAGAAACAAGACGGCGTCATCTCCAACCTCCTGGACAACAGCACCTACGTCAACGAGAGCGACTGCTACTACACCATCAAGATGCCCAACATCTCCTACTACCACGGTCCCTGGACTGTCAACATCAGGTATAGCTTCACAACATCCGTACCCTGTAACGCCAAGTCTTTGAGACCATCATTAAACCATTACACTGAAACCCTGTAGCAGGAAGTTCACTGGCCTTCACAACACGAATATATGAATCTTTCATATATGTTTATATTTGAATGATACATACTTTGTATTTTTTTTCAGAATCACTAAACTAAACGTACGTCGAGATATCCGCTGTTAGATTATCACACAAATTAGGACTATTGCTTTTTAGAGTTTTGTCTGTGCTCGACTTACAGTACCTTACGTGCATGAACGTTTCATCTGGGACGAACCCGTGAAGATCCGGATTAGAATTGATCTTCAGTAACCCATGCTTGTAAGAGACAACTAACGGGATCGGGTGGTCAGGCTCGCTGACATGACATTGCATCCGTATCGTATTGCGTAAATCGATGATGATGCTGTTGATCACTGGATTGTCTGGCCCAGACACGATTATTTACAGACCGCCGCCATACAGCTGGGATATTGCTGAGTGCGGCGTAAAACTAAACTCACTCACTCACTCTTCTTTAAGGTATAATTGTATCAATGGCAGCATAAAGACATGTTTCTGTACCATCTAAAAACAATTCAGAATCATCTGCATGTTGAACTCGGAGTCCTCCAAGGCCCTCACAACACATATATAGTGAAATCCTATAACTCGAGTTCCTCCGGGCCCGTGAAGGTCCGGGTTAGAATTGATCTTCGGCAACCCATGCTTGTCGTGAGAAGCGACTAACGGGATCGGGTGGTCAGGCTCGCTGGCTTGGTTGACACATGTCATCGGTTCCCAATTACGCAGATCGATGCTCATGCTGTTGATCACTAGATTGTCTGGTCCAGACACGATTATTTACAGACCGCCGCCATACAGCTGGGATATTGCTGAGTGCGGCGTAAAACTCAACTCACTGACTTTCTACAGGCCCTCACTAACCTCAGTCCTTCATAGTAACTTTCTCCCTTTTGTCATAGTTCAATGTTTGTTTAGGTTTCTTCGCCTGGACCTGGAAGGATGTAACACCACGTGCGGATGTGGCTACCTGGAATTCTTGAACGGCGAGGTGGACGTCCGTAGGCTGTGCGACTTCTCCTACGTGGATTTGAACCACACCTACAGCGGTTGGGCAACTTTCTGCAATCAGTTGAAGTTTATGAAATCTAATTCGATCAGAAATCCAGTCAGTTCGTATTAACAAAAATACACAGTGGGCTTGGGTTTTATGTTCAAATAAGCAGCCGGGTTAGAAATAAGACCCTCTTGGAAACTTGATGAAAGCGGTACCGCAACACTGCAAACAATGGGTCGGAGAACACAACTATGATACAAATATGAAATACGTCACCATCCGATAACTATGTCGTTTCTTTCTTAAGAAAGGCAATCCCCGTGAAGAATTGGTTTTCAGCAACCATGCTTGTCGTAAAAGGCAAATAACGGGATGGGGTGGTCAGGCTCGCTGACTTGGTTGACACATGTCATCGTATCCCCATTTTGATCGATGCTCATGATGTTGATCACTGGATTGTCTGGTCCAGAATCGATTATTTACAGACAGCCACCATATAGCTGGAATATTGCTGAGTGCGGCGTTAAACAACAAACAAAGCAAGGTAGGATACTATGCTGACGTACATAAGAAAGTACACACCTGGTGTTTTGGGACTATTCCCAATAAAACCATAAATATTTTGCTAGCAATGTTGTAATTGGGTACAATATCTGTGTTTTTTGGAAACACTTGCACAGTGTTTGTGACAAGGCAGAATCAAAACACTTTTTAAATATTAATGCTGTTTTAAAGAATATTTTACCAAAGAATCAGGTGTGTACTTTCTTTTGAACTTCTTTATTGTATTATGATGCGATGTTTTGGTGTAGATTCCTATATCGGTGTACAGCAGTGGATATATACTTAAGTCCGGGGCTATTTAAGACTTGACGGAAAATGTAAGGCCAAATATGTGGTCCTCACAACATATAATAGACTAGAACGTCAGTAGCCACGTGTTCCACTATATTTATAACTTCTCCCTCACAGTGAACGTCGGGTATGACTCTGACCTCAAGCTCCGATACCACGTGGACCCTAACGCCGGGGTAACTGGATTCGAACTCGACTATGAGGTGCTGGTCGGCCACGCCAACCCTTGTGCCAACGACTCCTGTGACAACTGCTACTACAACCAAAGCATCGACTTCCTGGGATGCTGTCGCTGCGCCAGCTACGACATCTCCACCGCCTATACCGTGCTACCGACGTGCGCGCCGACACCAAGTAAGACACTGAATATCGACACAATTAATAAAGTTTGTTTGTAAAAACAATATTCACTCATATTTCACCTGTTTTAGATGTCATCTTGAATATATATTACAGAACATTACAATCTTAAAATAACAATTAAAAAAACGTATAAAGTGTCAGAAACCGGAAATTGCTTACCTAGATGTCGTTTCAGCCATTTGTGTATGTTTGCATGTTCAACCTTGCAGAAACGTTACGAACCGATACCGATTTTACTCAATGGTGGTCTAGCCCTGCCAAGAAACCAACTTGTCCAGGATTTGATGAAAATATTTATTCCTTGATTTAAGAGTGTCAAGACAGTGATATCATTCACCTGTCGGCCGGCCTTCACGTTATTAGTAAACTTAATACCTTTTAACTGTATGTAGGGGAGGTCGGGCAGCCTACTGGTCCACACGGGCATATTGTGTGAGGCTCATTTCTGGTGTCCCTGCCGTGATATTGCTGGAATATTGCTAAAAGCGGCGTAAATCTCTTTCACTCACTTACTTAACTGTACGTAACTACTAAACACTGTCCTAAAGCTGTTTGTATTGCATTATATGTATAAACAAGGTTTTTCAACAGAATTGTAGATATACCACTTTCACATGTGATAAGTTTAGATATGCAATGGCCCGCTTGCGATGTTGCTCTAGTCGTCTGAGAATTGAAACTGGTAGACATAATAAGCAACCTAGAAATGACCGAATATGTAATGTATGTAAATGTAATTCTAGAAGATGAATATCACTTTATTTTAATATGCAATTTTAATAATAATTTAAGTGCTGAATTAATTCCCAAGAGATATTGTCAGTTCCCAACCAGGCACAAATTTGATGTTTTAATGGCTTCATGTAACCCACATACCATTAAGCAACTACCAACTTTTATTGTTAAAGCTAAGCAGTTGCGCAAATCACTCCTGTAACACATGTAGTATATGAAAACTGTATCATTGGTCAATGGTCATACTGCAAGTGAATAAAACTTCAAACTAAACACTGTGGCGTGACGCTGAATGACGTCATTTATGTTTCCAAGGCAACAGAACCAGCGCGTTGCTTGATCTCCTGTATGACATTATCAACAAGGTCATGAAGATCGAGGAAGAGCAAAGGAATGTCCGATACGACTTATGGAAAGCCTACTCCCTCGCTGCACGCCTCAACGCCACACAGGACGACGACGGCTATTGAGGTTTGTTTGTTTGTTTGTCGTTTAACTGCGCAATCATCAATAGTCCAGCTATATGACGGCAGTCTGTAGATAATCAGATCTGGACCAGACAATTCAGTGATTGACATCACAAACACCGATCTAAAACAGTGAGTGAGTGAGTGAGTATGGTTTTACTCCGCTTTTAGCAATATTCCAGCAATATCTCGGGGGGCGCCAGAAATGGGCTTCACACATTGTACCCATGTTGGAAATCGTACCCGGGTCTTCGGCGAGACGAGCCAACGCATTAACCACTAGGCTACCCCACCGCCCTAAATGTAAAATAACTGAGATACGGTGACGTGCATCAACTACCCGATCCTATTAGCTGCCTCTTACAAGCATAGGTTGCTGAAGATCAGTTCCCACCTGGATCTTCACGGATGGTTGTTACGGTAAACTTTCAAGAAATACTTTCATGACGTTGTTACTTGGTAGAGTTATTGTCAATATTCGTTGTTAATTATATCGGCCATTCGTCTGGTCAGTCAGATACCTATATTGTTGCAACATAAAAACTTAGACCTTACGACCATACAAGTGAAGGTCCGGGTTAGAATTGATCTTCAGCAACCCATGCTTCAACAGCTTGTCGTAAGAGGCGACTAACGGGATCGTGTGGTCTGACTCGCTGTCTTGGTTGACAGGTGCCATCGTATCCCGATTTCGAAGATTGATGACATGATGTTGATCACTAGATTGTCCGGTCCACACTCGATTATTTACAGACCGCTGCCATATAGCTGGAATATTGCTGAGTGCGGCGTAAAACTAAACTCACTCATTCACTATATCACTTCAGTTCCAAAGAAGAAATACATGTTTGTTCTTGCTAGTTCTGTTCGGAGTTTTAATCCAATTTTATCTTTTTGTTAAAGACTCCCGAGTACACACGTGAGAGCGGCCTACTGGATACACGGAAACATGTAAATCCTCATTCCACAGCGTGGTAATAAAGAGTGTGCATACCTTCAAGTATACCTTCGAGTTTGAACCTCTATTTGCTCTAGAAAATGTGGAGTTGCTGAGATATTCATGTATTTCAACAATCAAGTTTGCCACGAGTATAGTAATTGAGTGAGTTTTACTCCGAGTCCTCTTTTAGCAATATTCCAGCAATATCACGGCGGGGGACACCAGAAATGGGCTTCACACATTGTGCCCATGTGTGGAATCGAACCTGGGTCTTCAGCCTGACGAGCGGACGCTTTTACCATTATGCTATCCCACCCCGCCCCTACCCAGAGTCTAACTACAACTTAACGTGTCTTGCGTGGCGTCCACATACCCACCTACACCGGTGACAATTCCTCTCCCCTTTAGATTTTTGGGGTGGATCTTATAAAGCAACATGCGTGCCTTCTCATTTGGCGGGAAGAAGAGATTTTGTGGGGAAGAAGATCCTTAAAAAACATGCGTTCAAAGTACGCCGTGCATGTCACCTCGTTTGATTTGGTGACTTAATATTATCCCAGTTTTGTACCTCGTCCAAGTTGTCAGGACATATGATCCCTGAAGCTCCCAGGGCTTGCCTCCCTCTGGGGAGTCTGGTGATAGCATCCAGGACCCCGTGTATATAGAGAATACTACACGAGGTCTGATTACATACGAATTATACGAAACGAGTGTCCTTCCTATGTTATCTGACCGAGCGAAAGCGAGGTCAGATAACATAGGAAGGTCACGAGTTTCGTATAATTCGTATGTAATGAGACCGAGTGTGGTATTTTATTTATTACCCACGTCTTACATGCATTAAATTGACAAAATAGCGTATTCTTGTTAATATTTTGCTTTCAAACAGAACCCGGTTTCATAAAGAGGTTGCGGAAGAGTTTTGTACTGTAGTACAATATTTGCATGACGTCACACTGTAATGACGTCACTGCCTTGGTAACCGACGTCACGATGCATGTCAGTTGTCATCGCCCCGTACAGCCTCCTACAGTAAACTACTCCGTAGCACCCCGTTTCTTGGTTTGCAGTTGCTTCGTTCGGCTAACATCACTGGTGGAAACATTGCGTTTATGTTTTTCGACGGATATAATGTCTCAGTTCGACTCACAATTAAACAGCGACACGGCAACGTTCGCAATGTTTAATTTCCCACAATGCATTTAAGTTGTAGAATGAATGGATCCACGCGTTTGTTATGAATGAAAAAATAGTTACGTCAGAATGTGACCTAATTGAGAGGTCATCGGTTATCCAATCAAATCGTTAGAATCTCAAGTCAAGTCGTTACGACACAGGTCAACGCGATACGACACACGTGTGACGTACGAGATTAGTATGCGACTACCCATACGTTGACCACGTGGGTAATAAATACATTTATGTTACCTGGCGTGACAGTCAACTCACGCCGACGGAATCTTGGAGTGAAATCCCAGTGCCCAGGTTCTTTACAGTGTCGCCAGCAATACTCCAATATATACTCTTAAAAAGTAGCGGAACCTGACCTTTAAATTCGGATAGGAAGTATAAGCGTTAACAAACTTTTCAAAGACCGACATCTTATGAACGCACCACCATTTCTCTTTATCACCACCCCTAAACACAACGGATGGGATGCACGTGCACAACGCAGTAGCCCCGCACACGTGCTGGAGTATCATTCTTGATTTTGACTGTTTTCAAGAAGGTCGATAAATCACTGTAGACCATTAATTTTGACAATCATCTTGCACACAGTGTTTGTTTCTAGCCGGTATTTTCTGTTTGAAAATGAAAATCGTACACGTGCAAATTTCACGTCATACACCAATCATCTTTCAAGAGCGCTTACTGTACAAACAACTATGGTTATAAGGAAGTGCAAGTGGTGATGCACTCTCAAGACATTCATTATTATTATATCAACATTGAGCGACTCCGATATATCTCCCAGTTTTTTCATTAGTAAATTAAAAATGTTCCCCTACTTTTTTTGAAGAGTATAATACAGCAACACCCGGACAGGTCAGTGTCTGAGGCCAATGTCCTTTCGCCACTGAAGTTAACCAGTTTAGCGCTGACTGACCACGGATCAGATCAGGGTAAGAGATTCGAACCCACAAGACAGCTAGCGCTCTTAACCACCTGACCTCCCTTTTCCCAGTGTGCTTGTGAAACTTTAAGCTAACTTCGTGACCAGTTATGTGTGAAGCCCATTTCTGGTGTCCCCCGCCGTGATGTTGCTGGAATATTGCTAAAAGCAGCGTAAAACCAAACTCAGTCAGTCAGTCGTGACCAGTTTTTCTTGAGTGAATGAGTGAGTATGGTTTTACGCCGCTTTTAGCAATATCCCAGCAAAATCACGGCGGGGGACACCAGAAATGGGCAGTGAGTGGGTGAGTGAGTGAGTAAGTCAGTAAGTACTGCTTTATGCTGATTTTAGCAATATCCCAGGAACACCAGAAATGGACATCACATATTGTACGGAATCGAACCGGTGCTTTAGGCATGACGAGAAAGATGTAACCACTGGACTACCCCAGGCCCTAACATTTCCTGAATCATCACCATGACAACAACAATACGATCAATCGAAAGCAGCTAATGAGGAATAAACCATTTTAAAATTTATTCGTGAACAACAAAACTTTTTTAATTTAAAAAAGTACAAATTTCGAAGCATGGCGTCCTATTTGGCGCTGCACACGTCGCTCTTGGGTTTGACGTAGGGCGTGGTCACGGGATCGGGGTGAGTCTTTGCGCTGTAGGCCTGCGAATAGAAACGACATATCATTGGGGAACAAGTGAATCAGTGAGTGAGTGAGTTGGGTTTAACGCCGATGTGGACAGCATAAAGGGATGAACTTGTGGGAAGACAGCCTGAAGTATCGGGCTCCCTTCGGCTAGCGCATGGTCAATTGTAACTCCAGTAATGTTATTTTCATTTCATTTAGGAGATAAACCTAGTGTGTTTGAAAATCAGAGACATGCTTTACTGAATTGATGGCGACTAAATTTCAATTGGAACCGAACGCGGGGAATCATATAACTGTATTTTTCGAGTTTAATAAATGTTTCATCAGCATTTCCATCACGTCTGTTGTGTTGATATTAGTCATGTTGGTGGTCAAGCTGAAGTAGTGGGGGCAGTGTTCATACGTGCGCAGTGAAGCGCAATGAAATCCAACGCATTTTTAATCCCAAAATTTCCAGTTGCCTATGTGTAAAATTCGAAAGTCAGCGTCAAAATCCATGGAGTTGTTGTTATGATCCGCCATCATTGTGGTCAAACGGAAGTAGTTCTCACAATAAGATTTGTTAATGCGCGGTGAAGCGGCCTTACAATCAGATGAGCGTCAATCCACAATTGATGCCGTCTGATTTTTCTGAACAACCAATCAGAATCTAGTATTTTCTTGATTCATGGTAGAATGTTGTTTAACGCACGCAGCAATATTCCACCTATTTGACGGCGATCAGTAAATAATCGAGTCTGGACCAAACAATCCAGTGATCAGCATCATGAGCATAAATCTATGCAATGGGGAACTTACCGCTGGATACCCTGCGTAGTCCACGCATTCTATGACGTTGATGGAGTCGTCAGTTTTCTTCTGGAAGTCGTCCCTAACTGTCTGGTTCTTCCAGTCAAGGGTATGGAGGTAATTGATCAGGGCGTGCTTCTCGGTTCTCGGGTCCTTGATGTAGTTGTCGTACAGAGGGAGGCTCATGCAGTCGGCCATAGGGCTCCGGGGGTAGTACAGGAGAAACGACAGACACATCTCATCACTGGTCCTCACGCCACCCTACAATACGCAGTGAGTGAGTGAGTGAATGAGGGAGTGAGTGATGGAGTAAGTGGACGTGCGGGCTGTCTGGTTCGTTAGTGGTTGAACGGATCACTTTGAGTGAGTGAGAATGAGTGAGTGGATCACTGGGTTGTGAGGGGTGAACGGATCACTTTGAGTGAGTGAGAAGGTGGGTGAATAAGGGAGCGAGGAGTGGGGAGTGGACGTGCGGGCTGTCTGGTTCGTGAGTGGTTGAACGGATCACTTTGAGTGAGTGAGAAGGTGGGTGAATGAGGGAGTGAGTGGACGTGCGGGTTGTCTGGTTCGTGAGGGGTTGAACGGATCACTTTGAGTGAGTGAGAAGGTGGGTGAATAAGGGAGCGAGTGGGTGAGTGGACGTGCGGTTGGGTTGTCTGGTTCGTGAGTGGTTGAACGGATCACTTTGAGTGAGTGAGAAGGTCGGTGAATGAGGGAGTGAGTGGACGTGCGGGTTGTCTGGTTCGTGACGGGTTGAACGGATCACTTTGAGTGAGTGGAACGTGTGGTTGTCTGGTTCTTGAGTGGTTGAACGGATCCACTTTGAGTGAGTGAGGGTGAGTGGACGCAGTTGGGTTGTCTGGTTCGTGAGTGGTTGAACGGATCACTTTGGAGTGAGTGAGAAGGTGGGTGAATGAGTGAGTGGACGTGCGGTTGGGTTGTCTGGTTCGTGAGTGGTTGAACGGATCACTTTGAGTGAGTGAGAAGGTAGGTGAGTGGACGTGCGGTTGGGTTGTCTGGTTCGTGAGTGGTTGAACGGATCACTGTGAGTGAGTGAGAAGGTGGGTGAATGAGGGAGTGAGTGGGTGAGTGGACGTGCGGTTGGGTTGTCTGGTTCGTGAGTGGTTGAACGGATCACTTTGAGTGAGTGTGTGTGGGGATGGGTGGGTTCGTTAGTGAGGAGTGAGCGGGTGGGTGGATGAGTGAGTGGACGTGCGGTTTGGTTGATTGTTTCGAGAGTGGTGGAATGGATCACTTTGAGTGAGTGACGGGTGGTAGGTGGGCGTTTGAGTCAGTTTGATTGGGTGCGTGATAAGATTTTTCAGACGGCTGGGTGGGTGTTTGAGTGAGTTGGTGCGTGATATGCAGAAAGGGTGGTGGGCGACTGGGTTGTGAGTGGGTAGAGTGGAATGCTTGAAAGTGTGAGTTTCGGTGTGAGTGAGTGAGTGGAATTGATGTCTGCCGTGCACAAAAAATGAAATAACACGTATACAATAGCAATATTGTCTTGCGTATCTTAAATTATTGCATATTCTATAAGTACATTTAGTCCACAGTATATCAGAAAGTATGACGGCAACACTTACAAGCGTGAATTTGCCCTTCTCCTTTGACCGGTAGTCGCACTCGGTGATGATGGCGTCACCCTGTAACAGTAAACAGTCCACAATGAGTTTGTTTCATTGTCTCTTTAAACAATATTTCAGCTGATGAGGAGGTGGCAACTTCTTGTGCGGGTAAAGTCAGGTTCCAAGGTTTACCACTTCGGCGAAAACAACGAAGTTGGGTGTGGTACCGACAAACCAACATTAGGTCGACCTGGGATTAGAACTGGCGATCATTGGTTTTCGGGTAATTCTAGACATGATGTATAGCTAATTGTGGCGCTTTAACTACCGGGTCTCTCTTACCCCAATCACGATATGGCTGAAATATTGCCGATGTGACGTTAAATAATAATAATAACTCACTCTTACCCCAAATTCTACAGTGATTAAAGCTAGACTGTCCTGGAAAAATTACTATGTATGTCCCCAGTTTACGAGCAAAGTGAATGTACACTGAAGTTAAATCACAAATTTCGTAACAGGAGGGGCGGTGGGGTAGCCTAGTGGTTAAAGCGTTCGCTCGTCACGCTGAAGACCCGGATTCGATTCCCCATATGGGTACAATTGTGAAGCCCATTTCTGCTGTCCCTCGCCGTGATGTTGCTTGAATATTGATAAACGCGGCGTAAAACTAAACTCACTCACTCACGTAACAGGAAATTAAAGGTCACATGCAACCAAAACATGAAACATAATTAAAACACAATTATCACTTATTCATGCCAAATATATAATATACATTGCTGATTCTGAAAACTATCAGCGTACAATCGCAAATAAACAGTGCAATATTTTGTTTACTTCCCTCCGAACGAAGCACCCGGGAGACCGAACCCAGTCAGAGCGGGTAGGTGTGCACTCAAGTGTAAAGAAGACTTTCATTTGCCCATACGCTGATGTAACATAGTATGCTCTATTTGGGATTACACTACTTTCTAAAATGGCATTGTGTATTTGATACGCTTATGGTTCATTGTGTGTGTGTATATAGGTGAGGTGAGGTGAAATTCGGTTTAACGTCGTGCTTGAGAATATTTCGCTCATATGACGACGTGCATGCGTGTGTATGTGTATGTGCGGCTGCTTGTACTAGCCCAGATGAAGCTGGTTTTATAGTGATAGCCCACTGAGATACCATGCCGCAGTGAAGCATGAATACCCCACTCAGACACATTATACTGACTCCGAGCCGACCAGTCCTTCTTGTACCCATTACTGCCGGGCGCCAGGCAGGGACCAACAAGTACCATATTTTAACGTCTTTTGGTATGACGCGGTCGGGGATCGAACGCTCTAACCACTACACCACGGAGGCGGCCCGTGTGTATATAGAGATTTTGGGTTTTGTAAATACATGCTCATTTATTCTGCATTTAAGTTCGCTCCAATCAACAAATACTGAGATGGTGAACTACTGAGTGACTGGAAACTGTCGTTCGTCCAAGTACAAAGCAGGATTTGAAACTGACAATCTGACTTTGCACTGGTTTCCGTCCGTGCAACCCACAGACATAATAACATGTCATGTGTACAAGTATCACACCTGCCTGTCTGTGTAATTACATAATGTGACAGGGACAGAACTCAGCTGCACGAGCCATAAATCAATGTATTTTGTTTATGGTGTATACTGATACGTTTCAAGTTCAAATTGCATGTGGTCAATGATTGAAGTTGTGTATTGCATATCGTCATTAGCAGACAGGCAGGCAGACACATAGGTGTCAATAAAACAGACACTGAGTTTTGTCTGTGACAGAGACTGCTTATCACAATCAACATATTTTTCTATGTTTCCATAGACATGTATTAAAACATTTCAGTTTTCAAGCTGAGCAAATTAGTATTTCTAATGTTACACTTTCTTGAAAACCTGGTTTGCAAATCTGCAAACAAAAAGGAAATCTTCCCCCAAAAGGAGGATGTGAAACCATATAAGAAAAAGTATGGGACCAGTGTATTTTTATTACTACAGACCAAGATGCTTGTAATCACAAGAAACATCTTTTGTTCTCCAACTTCGACCACAGCGATAATCCTTGCACGCTTCTCTTGCTGTGTTTTTACAGGGAGACTATATAAGAGTATCCCTGGTTTGTACGAGTCGCCTTCCCGGTTCAAGCCGCGCGAACCTAATCACTACGCATGCGCTATGGGCGCAGCGCAGCACAGCTGTTAAAACCACTTTTCACCCCAGCGCTGGGGTGACATTAGTGAATCGTTTGAACTCTGATTTCGCGGGGTTTTTTCATCGCGTTATTTTTCAACTTTATAAGTTGAATTTGCATTTTGATTATTTATTACTGTAAGTCCATACCGAAAGGTGTCAGAATATGCAAAGTTGTGTTTTGTGTTGCATGTGACCTTTAAGCATGTGTCTTTCAGTGATTCGCCCTCCATTAGCCTCCGTGCCGAAAACGTAATTTAAAGATAACTTTAAAATAGTAGGCCTTGGACCAAAATTAGACTTGGTCGTATATTTGAGTTATCTTATATAGTAATAAATGAATCCCAAGGATCTACTTCTATGGACGCCCCTATCGAACATTGGAATGTGCTCTCCGATATGTCACGTGACTTACCACTTGTAACTTCCTCTCGTGAGCCAGCAGCCTGGTTTCCTGGAAGTCAAAGTCGTAGTTGTCGTCCACGATGAGGGGTTCGATCTCAGTGTTGTTCCTGACAAGGCGGGTCTTGATTCCCTTCCCAATAAGATGGGTGTGTTGGAACACTGCGAACACGTTCATCTCAGGGGCAGTGGACCGAGTCAGGGCCTGAAGGACATTTAGAGGTATCAAATAGAGATATACATATACACTGTTGGTCTGGCAGCGTCTGTAAACAAAGCAAACCGGATGACATTTAGAGGTATCAAAAAAAGAGGTACATACACAGAGTGGGTCTGGCGACGTCTGCAAACAAAGAGTAGGTCTGGCGGCGTCTGTAAACAAGGCAAACAGGCGACATTTAGAGGTATCAAATATAGAGGTACATACACAGAGTGGGTCTGGCGACGTCTGTAAACAAGGCAAACAGGCGACATTTAGAGGTATCAAATAAACAGGTACATACACAGAGTGGGTCTGGCGGCGTCTGTAAACAAGGCCAATGGATGACAGTTTGAGGTATCAAATATAAAGGTACATACACACTGTCTGTCTGGATGTGTCTGTGAACAACATAGATATATACTACACATTCTCCGCTCCAGCACAGGTTTGTTAGTCTGCTCATGAGCATTTTCATTCAAGAGATTTGCGGTATATTGAGATCAACTGAAGCTATGGATGTTTCTCGCCTTGCTATTCCGCGTTAATACATACTGAGTACTGAAGACTATTTACACTGTCTTCCTTCACACTGAAACCTCATTATTCTGGACCCCAAATTCCCAGATATCGGAATTAAATAGTTTCGCACGAATGCCCTCAGGGCTTTATGGTACACCGGAGGCTGGACTTCCGGAGTATAAACGTTCATACATTTCTGCTTGGACTTAACAAACATCTATATCGAGGTATTATATTTTACAAATTTAATCTTCATTTATTTCTATTTTGACAAAGTAAACCGCTATTTTGAGGTTCCACTTAGGTAAATAGTTGACATATTTCTTGTCGCATTCAACAGACAAGAAACAGACAGGCAGGTGTGATACTTGTACACATGACATGTTATTATGTCTGTGGGTTGCAAACAAACTGCATCCATTTATCTCGGATGCCTGGATCGGACGGAAACCAGTGCAAACTCAGATTGTCAGTTTCAAATCCTGCTTTGTACTTAGACGAACCACAGTATACACACACACAATGGTTCAGATTTGATATTGTCTTAAGACATTCATGGGAATTGAGTGTGGAATGCAACAAGAAATATTTTACCTTTTCCATGCACGCCATGTTGCAGTACCCCCGGGATTTGAAGGACTCGTATTCTGGGGGAACGATCTGGAATTTGTCAACCATGATCCCAGTCTCCAGCACCCCGGCGTCGTGAAGTCGTAAAGTCGGCGTGTAGTGGATGCGCATGCCGGAGCTGTCGATGACCCCTGAATCATGATAGAAACAATACACATTTAGAACTGTGTATTGAGGGAACATCTAGTGCGGTATCAGCAATGCTAGAAGCGGTCGTAAAATCTCCAACACATCTGCGTCGGACTTGATCACATTCTGCCGCAGTTGACGTTTTGCCTGTGTCTCCATACAGATACACCTACCAGATTTAAGTGTGGGGTTGTTGTAGTGTGTCTCCAGGACCACGTGGCCAGGGCCTTCCGACATTCCGAGTGGCATTCCAACATCAGTAGGTAGATAGAAGGGCTGCAGAAAGATAATATTCATCATATACCGAAGGAAACAAATAAGGGAACACCACTTCATGGCACTGTTCCTTTATTTATTTCTTAGATTTCCTCCCAAAGCGCTTCGGTCCTGCCCCACAACGAAGCACATGTGATACATGTGGTTTCACCTTAGGCAAGCGTGTTTGTTCAAACTTACCTCAGTTCACCGGGCAGTAAATGGGTACCCGGTGGGATAAGTCATATAACTATAACCTTCTAGCGCCTCGCGGGTTATGGTTACAAGGGGTAATAATGCCCATCATGTTGTGTGAGCTTAGAGCATGTCCGTGAGGCGTGCAGATCACGACTATATAACTTAGTGAGTTTGGTTTTATGCCGCTTTTGGCAATATCCCAGCAATATCACGGCGGGGACACCAGAAATGGGCTTTACACATTGTACCCATACGGGGAATCGAACCAGGGTCCTCGGCGTGACGAGCGGACGCTTTAACCACTAGGCTACCCCACCGCCCCGCTATATAAGTGGCATTAAGTGGAATAAGTGAAATCTGAAGCACAATAGTATGTACACCAGATGAAGCTCACCTCTCCACCCACGGCCCAGGCTAGGAACACCGCCCGGCACGACAACAGCGTCATGTCGTTGATGTGGTAGCAGTGGTAGTCGAAGTTGTTGTATTTGTCGTCAAGCTCCGTCGGGCACGTATACACTACCATGTGGTGGACGATATCCTCGTTGCCAGGGGTGATGACTGGCTCGAACTGGGGATCGGATGGATACAATGGTGTATTGATTCAACGTGGTTACAAAACGTTACAAGGTAATTGTAAGATGATTCAAGGGCATCTCAAAGCCATTCAGTGTCATGGAAAGAGTAATCAGAGATTCCGGGGAGATGATTCAGTGTGTGAGAAGATAATTCAGTATAATGGCAATAAGATTGAATGAAATAAGATGAATTAGGGTATGAGAAGATGGGACAGTATAATGAGAAGATGATTCAAAATCTATTTTGACGCTTCAGGGCATGAGAAGACAATTCAGTATAATGACAAGAAGATTCAATGTAATAAGATGATTCAGGCTATGAGAAGATGAGTCAGTTTAAAATGGTTCAGTTCTATGACGAGAGGATTCAAAGTAATAAGATGATTCAGTTAGAAGATAAATAAGATTCAGTTTTGTGCCAAGAAGATACAGAGCAATGATAAGGCGATTGCAAGATGATTAACTGTGTTGACAAAAAAGATTGGTTTGTTGTTTAACGCCGCACTCAGCAATGTTACAGCTGTATGGCGGCAGTCTATAGAAAATCGAGTCTGGACCACACAATCCAGTGATCAACAGCATGAGCATCAATCTACGCAAGTTGGATATGATGGCATGTGTCAACCAAGTCAGCGAGCCTGACCGACCGATTCCGTTCGTCGCCCTTTACGACAAGCATGGATTGGTAAAGATCAGTTCAAACCCGAATCTTCACGGGTTGGTGACAAAAAGAATTCAGGGTTCAATTCTGTATAATGATTCAATTATTCAATGTAATGAGAAGATGACTGAGCGCATTGACAAGAGGATCCAGTCCAAGGAGATGATTCGGTGTATCAAGAAGATGATTCAAGAGAATCTACGACTAGCATCAAGACCATTTCTCTCCATAATTATACCTGCAGTTTCCGTCTAAAGATTAATATTTTACAAAGCAGTAACAACGGACAACGACAGCACAAACTAAAGGGAAGGTGGAGACTATGAGGATACTGTCTACATACCATTATCAGGTGGTTCTTCTTCGGTAGCACTGGCATCTTGTGGACGGAGCAGTGGTAGAAGGTGTTAGCGGAAGGAACTTGAAACTGGAAAAACAAACAGTGAACATTTCATGAGTAGGTGTAAAAGCGGGAATGGCCATCAGTAGGAAAAAGTATCCTCAAGTTTTGAATAAACAAAATGGTTCCTCTTTGCAAAATTGTTTTATCGGTGATCTGGGCGGGGTGTGGTGGGCGGAGTTATGTCCCTTTTCTTGGACACGCAAGTCGTTGGTTTCCAATCTTAGATTAGCACCGAAAGTTATCATTGCCTCGTCATCCTAATACAACTGCTTGTGACTTTCTCAAGATTTCTCGAATTTCACACAACTGACACAAACTTAGATAAGTCGGAAAACACGCAATGATCGGATTTGCGCAATGTTTCCTCGTAGAATTTGTTTGTTTGTTGTTTAACGACGCAATCAGCAATATTTCAGTTATATGGCGTTGGTTTGTAAATAATCGCGTCTGGACCAGACAATCCAGTGATCAACAGCATCCATCTAAGCAACTGGGATACGATGATATGTGTCAACCAAGACAGCGATCCTGACCACCCGATCCCGTTAGTCGTCTCTTACGACAAGCATAGGTTGCTTAGACCAAGTGTAACCCGGATCTTCATAGGACTTTTCCGTCAGATGAAGTTTCACTTTTGTCTCAGTCACCCAATATTGAATTGAGCTGCCATATCGTTATACTCAAATGATGTTCATAGCTGAATTATGCAATACTCACTGTCTCTGAAAACAACATTTAATGAAATTTACGTCACGTAGCTATATAATAACTTTATTAACATAAACACCTGGCAAGAATTAATACAAGTTAGAGTTATCTCCCTTAGACTTGTGACTTCACAGATAGTTGTATAATGTACTCCCCACACCTTCTGATTGGTCAGGTCGAAGTGCTGGGTGTCAGCTGGCAACACCTTCACGGTCGGGGTCAAGTCCAGGAGAAGGAGACTCTTGGACCCCCGTCTGCCGGCCCCGTGGTATGTCAGGCCCGTCTCGTGGATGGGGTCATCTGGGTGGTAGGCGAAAATGACCTTTGTGGTCCCTTCCTGAAACATGGAGAGGTCACTTAGCACACGGAGCTATTGAAATTAAGTGTTTTCAGAAATTTCGATATTGTCAGTAGTTTCAGTATTTCATTTGTTTTCAGTTTTCATAAAAATATTTCTTTTTCTTTTTTAGCAAAATCGTTTTAGCATTTCAGTTCTTATAATTCATTTTCTCGTCAGTTTAGTATTTTCAACATTTTTATCATATTAAACATTTTTATTTTGGTATTTTCAGCATTTCAATTTATTTAGTTCTTTCAATATTTACAGCTATTTAGCTAAACTGTAGCTAAATAAATATTTGAGCTTTTTGATTGTTTCCATTTTCGAAAATAATTTTTCAACATTTTCAATATCTCAGGATTTTTAGCTCTTTCGGTGTGTGACTTACTCATATACCACCTGAATATTTGCAGTTATTTTCATAAGTATTATATTGTCAAATACTAGATTCAAAACAAACATGATAGATAGAAGGGACATTGGAAAGTAAATACCTTGATGACAAAGTCCTGCTTCTCATCACAAGTGTCGAGTGCTCGAGAGAACTTTAACACCGTGCCGAAGTCGTTCTCGAAGCCGGCGATGAGCGTCCAGTCCTGGGAGTCGTCGATGATTGGTTCATAGAAACCGATTGTATGGCGGTCCTGGAAGAAACAGTACCAATGATCAAAGGAGTCAGCGATTGAGTAGAATATACAATAAGGGACCCATACAAAAAAAATTATGGGCTGGGGGGTCATTGATTTTGTAGATGATATGTACGTCAATTTAAGGGGGGTATCCAAAATGGATACAATGGCTGAAGTCTATTTCTGGTGTCCCTGTCTTGAAATTTCAGGAATGTTGCTAAAGATGGTGTTCAACCTCACTCACTCAATCGTTGACACTCTTACTTAATACACCTGGCGTTCTCTAAAATTCTGTCTTGTTCAATAAAATTTGATTTCTTAAACTGTGCCAATAAGGGTGACGACTCAATAAATGTAACCCTTATAATGGCTGTATTTGAGGAAACACTTGCCGTGTCTATAAACAGTACGGCGAGGAGTACAACAGAGGTCGTGGTAATTCACAGGGTCATTGAATCATTCGTCCCTTTCCGTAACCTCCAAGAAGACTTCATTTGTGACCAACTCGTGTTATTCCGAAAAATGCCGAATAGTCTTCTTGGAGGTTACGGAAAGGGGCGAGTGGTGACGAATGATAAAAAGCATCGATAGGGGACGGGTCTTCTTGGAGGTTACGGAAAGGGGCGACTGGTGACGAATAAGAAGACTTGTGCCGGAATAACACGAGCCGGTTACGAATGTCATTGAATATGTATTCATGTTATCATTGCAATTGGTAAGTTTATTTTTCTTTCGGCATCAGTGAATTTGATTACCGTTGGTAAAGTATGTTAGGTATTTTAACAAATATGTTGTAATGTAAAAATTAGACTCTGATTTGTATGACGTATTAAGTTAGTGTGCATGTTTTGTTTTTCAGTAGACTAATATCTAGTTTCTAAAATGAACATATTCTACGGGAAAACAGTTCCTAAATGATATTAGTCAAATATAATTAAAAAGATGTCAGAGGCTATCTTCATTTTCAGAAATCGTTGTAATCTAAACATATTCTAGACTTGCATGGGCTCTATTGGTCATATTTGTTTCAGGGCCTGTATGACAGATTCCTTATTCATGCATTGTTTTAATGTTTTGTCTGTATATAATCGAGTCTAGATCAGACAATCCAGTGACTGACATCATGAGCATCGTTCAACTGGGCTACGACGACACGTCATCAACCTAACCTGACTGATCTCGTTTTTAGCTCCTAACATGCATGGGTTGTTTATTGTCTTTTCTTACCTTAAATCTCCAGGAGTGTTTTAAATCTACGAAATTATACGATATTATAATATATAACGTACAGAAATCTCACCTCAAAGTGCACCTTCCCGTCCTCCACCCAGCCAATCACAATATCGGCGGGGTACATGTTGCCATGGTTGGAGATACCGAAGCCTACGTAGCCCCTGGTTTTCACGTGAGTTTCAAAATGGATGTGTGTGGAGTTTGCCCTCCAGAACAGGAAGTAGTTCCCCTTTGTGTCCAACTGGGCGAACCTGCTGTACGTCTCGGTAGGGGTGGGGAAGTTCGGGGGGTACACGCCGGCGGTCTGTGTCGGCTGGGTCGTCACGGATTTAGGTGCTGCAGCTGACAGCGTCACCATTAAGGCGACGACGACGACTACGAGCCGAAACATATTCAGAATAGAAGTCGTTCTGGAGGGTCAGCAAAGTGATGTCTTCGCTGACAATTTCTCTTGGAGACCGACCCAAGATGTTGGAATATATATACGATGGGTGAATGGACTTTCTGACCCATATCGGGTGAGAGGGAATATGATGATTCGTCATAATTCTCACGGACTGTCAACAAGTGATAAGATACTACCGTATCTACACTACACGACCCTGCATCACGGTCTCGTGGTTTGGGAAGTCAGATAGACATGACGCATACCTTCGTGTGGGGAATATATTGCGACATATGGCGAACCCCTTCCCATAATGCCGTGTTCCAGACTTGGTCGTCATGACGACGCCTACTATTTTTACTCATTCAGTAGACTGTTGAGGACAGTAAGACGACCTCGTTTACAGTTATTGATGCTCAGAGAAAGCTACATTATAACTTACGCCGTCCGTATGTTTTTGTTTCACATCACCAGCCTGAACCAGGAAGAGTGAGTGAGTGAGTTGAATTTTATACCGCATTTAGCAATATTCCAGCAATATCACGGCGGTGAACACCATAAATGGGCTTCACACATTGTACCCATGTCGGGAATCGAACATGAGTCTTCGGCGTGACGAGCGAACACTTTAACCACTAGGCTACCCCACCACCGTGTAACTTTTTAAAATGAAATTTTATAATGTAGATGACTTGATAATCGTCGTTCAATTGAGTGATATTGCTGGAATATTGCTAAAGCGTAAACTCGTAGTCACTCTCTTACCAACTCCGTTTTGGTAAACACTGAACTGTGGGTATGATTGCGAAGGGTTTGTTATTAATTTTCTCATAAAACCTTTCAAAGGTCAACTGGTAATGACATTAACTGTTAATTTTTATATACTCATGGAAACGAATAAGGGAACGCATGAAAGTACAAATGTTCCTTTATTTATGTCCAGATTTTCATCCACAGTGCAATACAAAACTTGTTAAGATACATGGACAAAAATAAAGGAACACTTATACTTTTATGTGTTCCCTTATTTGTTTCCATGAGTATATGTTTTTGTTATGTGTTTCCATGGGAACAAGGACAACAACGGTGTGTGGAAAGACAGTTCAATCAATAGTTGCATCCAGGCATTAACACTGACCGGTATGAAATTAACTAATTAGCCAATACGTTTAAGAAGATGAGGCAACAAACTATATTTGACATGTATATAAACTGTTTAAATTCTACTGACCTCCACGAACTAGTTCTGAAAATATATGTAATTGAAACAGCTTGAAAGTGGCCTCGACAAGTGTTTTTCCCTCAGATTAGCGCACATCATATCAATCAAATCTTTATTCAATACTCAATGGCCACAGGCCTAGAGTACAATACATAGTAGTTAAGGCTGTGCAATATTACAGGTAAACCGGTATATACCGGTACAGTACCTCGCGACACGATTATCGCGATATGAGGTGAGGTAAGGTGAAATTGGGTTTAACGTCGTGCTTGAGAATATTTCGCTCATATGACGACGTGCATGCGTGTGTATGTGTATGTGCGGCTGCTTGTACTAGCCCAGGCTAAAGCTGGTTTTATAGTGCTAGCCCACTGAGATACCATGCCGCAGTGAAGCATGAATACCCCACTCAGACACATTATACGGACTCCGAGCCGACCAGTCTTTGTTGTACCCATTAATGCCGAGCGCCATAATTTTACGTTTTGTGGGTTTGAATGGCTTCATTTGGAGGAATTAAATGGCCTAAAAGTGCCAAATGTACTTTTTATTCTAATAAACGGTTTAACCATCAAATTTTTATTTGTTTGACTTGTTAGTAGAGCCGCTGGCTCTGAGTGACCATTTCACATTTCGCAGTATTTTGATATTAGGAATACAATTTATCTATAGATTGATGGACATAATAAAATTAGTTAAGGTACTTTCTACGTAGTTAATCATATATTGGACATACGAGCAAAAAATTGTATTCCTTTTCTAAGGCATTATTATTGCATGACTTACATAATCTATCTTCTCAGTTTATCTTCATAAATGTACCATTTTCAATCCACAGCTTATGTGATGAGCAGCGAAAACAAGCTAAACTTATTCTGTTTTTTATCGTGCCACATGACAGATAATGCTCAGTATAAATGTATGGTTTAAAAGATGAATAGTAATCACATTTCGGAGAAAAGGAAAGTTTTTCAGGCCAGTTTTGTTGGTATATATCTTTCAGTCTTTGCGTAAATAAACTAATAAACGTTGAGTGAAACTCAACATACTGCTCATACCACATGTGATTAAAACCTGTTGTAAATAAAAGATTTTTTACATTCGTTACCCAATTTGTGTGTACATTTCTAACATATGAAATGATCATTTCATAACATTTCTTTGTTAAACGACAAGAGGACATACTTAAAAGTCTTAGCCAATATTTGATTACTTTAATTCATACTAAGAGGAAACATGCCACACTCACATATCGTAGCACAAGCTTCACATTTCAATATGATCAGTGTAGCCACTGGCACATTGCATCTAAATGCGTCATTGGATTTTAAAGGAATTTGTGGTCAAATGCTTTATATTGCTATACGGCTAAATATATACGACATGTAGTTAAAACTCACTTTATCATCCCAAACTGTGTTCCAGAGGAGATATTGCTGTATGAGATCAAACGATCGTTTGACAGTAGATTTTGGACAATGCTCTGACAATGCTATGACGTCATGAACTTGATGATGTCACAATGCTATGACATCGCTGCACTGCAAGTCTAATGGCAGTACCGTGTTCAGCGATGTACATTTTTCATTGAAAACTAAAGAAGAGTGATTTTTGATGATAAATAGAATCTCACCCGAGTGTCTTCTGATATCAATATATAAACACTCGTTGATAAAGTAAAAATATCCTCGGCAAGCCTCGGATATTTGTGATTTTATCAACTCGTGGTGATATATTTGATATCAAAAGACACTCGGGTGAGATTCTCTATTTATCAGTGTTTTAAGTCGACTTGTTTGTATATGTGTCGTGTTTGTGTCCGTGTTTCACTATCTTGACCGTCATTACCAATAGATAATTGTAGCTGTCAACACACGATCACACTGGAGGATCCTCTGTGTCACTGGTTCATGTTACTTATATATTAAACCCATATATTGGTGGACCACGGGGGGTATATTTGTATTTGTACGTGTTGGTATGTTGTTGTCGGTAGTGTTGTGCTTCACAACGGGTCTCTTCACATACAGCATTATTCAGTTACCAGGACCAAAGTCCCACTTCAAGTGATAAGAACTTACACCAGTATTGGGATGGGGAGGCGTGCGTACTGGTGTCCATAAATGAAGCGTATTTGATTCTGTGAAAATGTTGGGTTTTTTTAAAACTTCTATGATGAATTTAGGAGGGGGTGGGGGGCACCCATTTGTTCCGGGGAGGTAGGTTGGGTGGGCAATCAATTTTGCACACACGTACTACGGAGGGGTCAGCACTTGTGTACATACTAATGTTAAAAATTATGCTTAAAAATTATGGGGGTCATTGACTTTTGTACATGACATACAGGGGGGTCACGTACTTTGTACAATAATCAATAATCCTAGGGGGGTTCGATCACATTGTACATGCTTCTCCATAAATCACACCAATAAAATATATGTCCAACAGCTGCAGAGTCCATGGCAGTAAAATGTACACTAAACGCCAAAAGAAACGTTACCCTCCTACTTTTATGAATTACTTAAAAACTATCAAAGATGGTAGAAAGTATTAGCTTACAAAAAAGCTTAACAACACAGCTTTATGAAAATCACGAAAAAGCTATCTCAAATGCATTCATATTTAGGTGAAACGCATCTGTTTCAGAGAAGTTAAATTGTCCTATTTTCGTCCATGCCGAAATAAACCAATAACAGTGATTTAGATGTCCAAAAGAAAGGTTAAAATAAAATTCTGCTTTGAGACAAGGATAAAACATTAAAATCGCCATTTTTCAACTATTATAACAAGAAACAACTGTTGTAGAGTGTGTAAAATTGTAAAAGAATCATTCCTATGATTTCAGTCTATTAAAACATTTTCTGCTGATTTGCATTAGTGAAAATAAGTAAAACGTGTCTTTGCTATTGTGAAAAAGTGTTTAGGAAAATCTAAAATTATCTTTGTTAACATGTTTGCTTGCAAAGTGACATTTTGCCATTTTCTGTTTACACATAGCAAAGTAGCAATATTCAAGCAGTATTTGCATCAATTTCGCGTGTAGAATAATTCTATAGGGTATAAAGAGAGACTACAATGCATGATATGATACACAAGTACGAGAAATATGCCACGATTAACAGCTGAAGAGAGAGAAAGAGCCACTGGGATGGTGCAGGTGGGGTCGACATACAATGCTGTTGCCAACGCCCTCGGATGCATTAAGGAAGGAGGGTAACGTTTATTTTGGCGTTTAGTGTATATCTTACAGATGCAGTGTACATGACAGTAAAGTATATACCCAACAGCTGCAGTACATGCCAGTTAAGTATATAGCCAACAGCTGCAGTGTACATGGGTAAGTTTATTTTGGCGTTTAGTATATATCCAACAGCTGCAGTGCGGTAAAATATATATATCCAAGAGCTGCAGTGTACATGGCATTAATATATATATCCAACAGCTGCAGTGTACATGGCAGTAAAGTATATACCCAACAGCTGCAGTGTACATGGCAGTAAAGTATATAGCCAACAGCTGCAGTGTACATGGCAGTAAAGTATATAGCCAACAGCTGCAGTGTACATGGCAGTAAAGTATATATCCAACAGCTGCAGTGTACATGCAGTATATATATATAGCCAACAGCTGCAGTGTACATGGCAGTAAATATATACCACAACAGCTGCAGTGTACATGGCAGTATATTATATAGCCAACAGCTACAGTGTACATGGCAGTAAAATATATACCCAACAGCTGCAGTGTACATGGCAGTATATTATATATCCAACAGCTGCAGTGTACATGGCAGTATATTATATAGCCAACAGCTGCAGTGTACATGGCAGTAAAGTATATAACCACTTCATCATTGGAGTTTACCAAACTGATGCTGGCTGACCACGGATCAGACCTGGATTCGAACCCTTCCAGCAAATATCGGCTCTAGACCACCTGGCCACCCTTGTCCGAATGTGCACGCGAAGCTTTATGCTAACGTTGTGACCACTATGGCTTGAGTGAGTGAGTCAGTCAGTCAGTCATTCAGCGATGCTTTATGCTGGTTTTAGTTATATTCCAGCGGGGGACACCAGAAACGTACATCACACATTGTAACCTAACCGATTGGGGAATCGAACCCGTACCTTCAAGCGACAGCTATTGGGGAATATAGCATATTCAACTTTATTCGTCAACAACAATACTATTTAAATTTAAATTTAAAGCATAACGTCCTATTTGGCGCTGCAAACGCTGCTCTTGGGTTTGACGTAGGGAGTAGTCACGGGATCGGGGTGAGTCTTGTCCGTGTAGCCCTGCGAATATGAATGAAATATCATTGGGGAACAAGTGAATCAGAGAGTGAGTGAGTGAGTTGAGTTTAACGCCGATTTGGACAGCATAAATGGATCAACGTGTGGGAAGACAGCATTAAGTGTAGAGCTTCTTCCACAGGCACAAGGTCAAATGTAACTCCTATAATGGAATTTTCAATTTTTTGTCTTAAACGCCGCACTCAGCAATATTCTAGATCTATGGTGGCGGTCTGTAAATAATCGTGTCTGGACCAGGCAATCCAGTTATCAGCATCACGAACATCGATCTATGCAAATGGTATACGATGACATGTGTCAACCAAGTCAGCGAGCCTGACCACCCGATCCCGTTAGTCGCCTCTTACGACAAGCATGGGTTACTGAAGACCAATTCTAACCCGGATCTTCACGGGTACTCTGGTACGACTGGCATGAAAGTTTATACGCATATAAATGCCCTGGAAGATTTTTCTTTTGATCCACACGAGAAGGTAGAAGGTCAGAAGTAATTCACTCCATTATAAAAGCTTGCTCTGTGGAACGGGGCCAAAAGGCTATTTAACAGAGAACCGGGTCCTCCTGATTACTAAGGTTTCGTTGTATGCAACACGCCATTTGACTCGTGAACAGTTAACCTCGCTTATACCGAGCTCAAGGGGACCACTTTGTTTAGTTCGTTATAACAATAGTACGTAACATTTCAACTAAATTATGAAGCAAGAGACGGGACCGAAAAAACCCAGTTTGTTCTATCCGTCAGTTCGTTACATCCGTCAGTTCGTTACACCCGTCAGTTCGTTACATCCGTCAGTTTGCTGTATCCGTCAGTTCGTTACACCCGTCAGTTCGTTACATCCGTCAGTTCGTTACATCCGTCAGTTCGTTATACCCGTCAGTTCGTTACATCCGTCAGTTCGTTACACCCGTCAGTTTGCTGTATCCGTCAGTTCGTTACATCGTCAGTTCCTTACACCCGTCAGTTCCTTACACCCGTCAGTTCCTTACGCCCGTCAGTTCGTTATATCCGTCAGTTCCTTACACCCGTCAGTTCCTTACACCCGTCAGTTCCTTATACCCGTCAGTTCGTTATATTTGTCAGTTCGTTACATCGTCAGTTCGTTACACCCGTCAGTTCCTTACACCCGTCAGTTCCTTATACCCGTCAGTTCGTTATATTTGTCAGTTCGTTACACCCGTCTGTTCGTTACACCCGTCAGTTCCTTACATCCGTCAGTTCGTTACACCCGTCAGTTCGTTACATCCGTCAGTTCGTTACATCCGTCAGTTCCTTACACCCGTCAGTTCGTTACATCCGTCAGTTCGTTACATCCGTCATTTAGTTACATCTGTCAGTTCGTTATACCCGTCAGTTCGTTACATCCGTCAGTTCGTTACATTGTCAGTTTGCTGTATCCGTCAGTTCGTTACATCGTCAGTTCCTTACACCCGTCAGTTCCTTACACCCGTCAGTTCCTTATACCCGTCAGTTCGTTATATTTGTCAGTTCGTTACATCGTCAGTTCGTTACACCCGTCAGTTCGTTACACCCGTCAGTTCCTTACATCCGTCAGTTCGTTACATCGTCAGTTCGTTCCATCCGTCAGTTCGTTGCACCCGTCAGTTCGTTACTTCCGTCAGTTCGTGATATCCGTCAGTTCGTTACATCCGTCAGTTTGTGATATCCGTCAGTTCGTTACATCCGTCAGTTCGTTATATTTGTCAGTTCGTTACATCCGTCAGTTCGTTACACCCGTCAGTTCGTTACATCTGTCAGTTCGTTACATCCGTCAGTTCGTTACATCCGTCAGTTCGTTACACCCGTCAGTTCGTTACATCCATCAGTTCGTTACACCCGTCAGTTCGTTACATCCGTCAGTTCGTTACATCCGTCAGTTCGTTACACCCGTCAGTTCGTTACATCCGTCAGTTCGTTATAAGCGGGTTCGTTACATCCGTCAGTTCGTTATAAGCGGGTTCGTTATGAAGGTCGTTTACTGTATCTCGAACTTACCGCTGGAAACGCATAGTCTAGGCATTCCATGTCGTTGATGGAGTCGTCAGTTTTCTTCTGGAAGTCGTCCCTAACTGTCTGGTTCTTCCAGTCAAGGGTATGGAGGTAGTTGATCAGGGCGTCCCCCTCGCTCGGGTCATTGATGTAGGCGTCGTACCGAGGCTGGCTCGAACACGAGGCCATCGGACTCCGGGGATAGTACAGGATGAAGGACAGGCACATCTCATCACTGGTACTCAGGCCACCCTATAACACGCAGAGTGAGGGAGTGCATATTCCAGCAATATCACGGCGGGGGACACCAGTAATAGGCTTCACATAATGCACCTATGTTGGGAATCGAAACCGGATCATCGGCGTGACGAGCGAACACTTTAACCACTCGGCTACCCCACCGCCCCAAGTTATATAGTAGTGCGATACGATATATCAATGTTATAATTAGACTGTACTCGTCACAGCAGTGCTAAACAATATCCATGCCACGTGATAGTGAGTGAGTGAGTTGGTGGGTAGACGTAAGTTCGGTTGGTGGGTTGGTGACACAGGGGTTCGAATCACTGTTTGGACAATAATATTTAACAATAATTTTATGTATTTTATGTAACTGTAGCGGGATAATTTTCTAAAAAAGTCCATTTCTTCGCCGATTTCGTTCAAATTTGAAATATAAGTTACTCATAACATATGAAAATAATATACGGTTGCAAAAATGTAGATTTTTATTTTAAACAATTATTGTTTAAACATTGATACGAACCCCTGTGGTTGGTGAGTGGTTGATCGGATCTCTTTTAGTGAGTGGGTGGACGTGCAGTTGGTTGGTGAGTGAGGGGTTGAACGGATCACTTTGAGTGACTGATTGAGTGAGTGGGTGGGTGGCGGGTGACGGGTGTTTTTTTTTTATCAAAGTGAATAATTTCTTTAAGAAACCAAATAATTCATCAAAGTCTACATAATTTTACATCAAAATCAACATTTTTTCAAAGTGAATATAGTTTTGTAAGAACCCAAATTATTCATCAAGTCTACATAATTTTACAACAAAATCAACATTAAAGTCAAGAAGGGTGGTGATTGTCCTCTCTGTAATGGAAAAATAACTGGGTGGCTTTTATCCTAGGTGGTATTTGTCCCAGGTGGCATTTGTCCTAGGTGGCGTTTGTCCAAGTGGCTTTTGTCCGGGTGGCATTTGTCCGGGTGGTTTTTGTCCGGGTGGTTTTTTGTCCTGCTCCCGTGTCTGAGGGACTTAGTGAATTTGTGGGTAGGTAGGCGGGTGTGTGTGTTGTTTGCTGGGTGAGTGGGTTGGTGCGTGATAGAGGAAATGGTTTGTGGGTGGATGAGTGAGTGAGTGAGTGGAATGGCGATCTACAGTGCAGACTTCATTAACCCGATATCCAAAATGTTATTATGAAAGTATGCACTATAATTGGCTCAGAAAAGATGAAATGACATGTGTCCATCGGGTTATATTAACATGCTTATCTTGAATTATAGTATATTTAATAAGCACATTTAGTCCACAGTTTATCAGAAAGTATGACGGCAACACTTACAAGTGTGAACTTGCCTTTCTCCTTTGACCGGTAGTCGCACTCGGTGATGATGGCGTCCCCCTGTAACAGTAAACAGTCCAGAGTGAGTGAGTTTGTTTTATTGCCCCTTTGAACAATATTTCAGCTGATGAGGAGGTGGCAACTTATAATTATTGTGCGGGTAAAGGAGGTTTTAAACATTTACGACTTTGGCGAAAACAACGAACTTGGGTGTGATACAGACAAACGTTAAAACGCAGTCAGGTCGAACAAGGCACATGTGAAGACAAGAAGTGAAGCTAATTGCGGCGCCCTAGCTCCCGGGTCACTCCTACCCCAAATTCTACAGTGATTAAAACTTGACTTATAAAAGTGTCATGGAAAATTTACAACATGTAGGTCCACAGCGATATTCCAACTATATGGTAGTGGTCTGTAAATAATCGAGTCTCCAATCCAATGATTGACTTCATGAACATCGACCTATGCAATTGGGACATGTGTCAATCAAGTCAGCAAGCCTGACCACCCATTTCCGTTAGTCATCTCTTACAACAAACTGCAGCTGGGTTGCTGAATCTATCTTCACGGGTACCACAGTTTATGCCCAAAGTGAATGAACACTAAAGCCGAATCGCTCATTTCGTAACGGGACATTAAGGGACCGTTCACATAATTTATGGCTGGTGGGGGTCAGCAATTTTGTACGTAAAAGTATGTCTAAAATTATGCTTAGAAATTATGGGAAGTGGAGGGGAGGTTATTGATTTTGTACATGATGTCAAAAATGACAGTTTTGTTCATTCAAAATAACAAAGATTATGATAATTGTGTTTCTATATTAGGTTTGGTATTTTCTGCATATGTCTCATATACCGAACCGAAACGGACCTAACCGAAGGCCTTGTACCGCAATACGTACCGTACTGTGGTAGGAGCGTTCCGTTTCATCCCTACTCCGTGCTTCAGAAAACGTAATTGACGTTATACCCGGTAGTATTATACCTTGAACCAGAATTAAACTTGGTCGTTTGAGTTGTTTGGTTTGGTATTGCAATGTAATCCCAGGGATCTACGTCTATGGACGCCCCTGTCAAACATTGGAATGTGCTCTCCGATATGTCACGTGGCTTACCACTTGTAACTTCCTCTCATGAGCCAGCAGCCTGGTTTCCTGGAAGTCAAAGTCGTAGTTGTCGTCCACGATGAGGGGTTCGATCTCAGTGCCGTTCCTGACAATACGGGTCTTGATTCCCTTCCCAATAAGATGGGTGTGTTGGAACACTGCGAACACGTTCATCTCAGGGGCAGTGGACCGAGTCAGGGCCTGAAGGACATTTAGAGGTATCAAATATAGAGGTACGTATACATACACACTGTTGGTTTAGCGGCGTCTGTAAACAAAGCAAACAGATGGCATTTAGAGGCATCAAATAAAGTGGTACATAAACACTACATGTGTAAACAAGACAAATAGATAACATATTTAGATGCATCAAATATATACGTCAACACACACTGTCGGGCTGGTGCGTCTGTAGACAAGGCAAATAGATAACATAATTTGAGGTATCAAACATATAGAGAATCTCCCCCGAGTGTCTTTTGATATCAAATATATCACCACGAGTTGATAAAGTTACAAATATCCGAGGCTTGCCGAGGATATTTTCACTTTTATCAACGAGTGTTGATATATTTGATATCAGAAGACACGAGGATGAGATTCTATTTATCATCGAAAATCTGAACACATTACTGCAATTAGACTTACAGTACAGCGATGTCATAGCATTGTGACGTCATCAAGTTCATGACGTCATAGCATTGGGGCATTGTACAAAATCTACTGTCAAAACGATATCTCCTAGAAACGATATCTCCTAGGAGATATCGTTTGATGTTACACAAGCAATATCTCCTGTGGAACAGATTTTTGGATGATAAAGAGGTATACACACACTGTTGGTCTGACGGCGTCTGTAAACGAGACAAATAGATCATATATTTAGAGGTATCCAATATAGACGTACACACACTGTGGCTGGCGACGTCTGTAGCAGCGCAAATGGGATACGACAACAAAGTCAGCGGGTCCGACATCTCAACCTAGTAACTCGTTGTTCAATATAGAACGTCAAAGCAAAAGAACACCCAGACTATCCCCAGAGGCATATCCCCGTGCACAGGCCCTCGTGTCTTTGCCAGGATTCAAGATTTAAAAATGTATATAAATTTGAGATATTTCTTAAATCATTAACCCTCGCAAAGACACGAGGGCCTGTGATCCCGTTTGGTGTAAAGCTGTGAACATTGAATGGAACACTGAAAATCAGTATAGACTTGCATGGGAACTGAGACTGGGAATGAGGCAAGAAAGACGTTACCTTCTCCATACACGCCATGGTGCAGTACCCCCGGGATTTGAAGGACTCGTATTCTGGAGGGACGATCTGGAATTTGTCCACCATGACCCCAGTGTTGAGAACACCGGCTTCGTAGAGTCGTAAAGTCGGCGTGTAGTGGATGCGTATGCCGGAGCTGTCGATGACCCCTGAGTTATAAAAAATAACATACTTATAACTGTAATCTGGTATGGAATCAGCACTGCTAGAAGCGGTCGTAAAATCTCCAACACATCTGCGTCGGGCAGGATCATCCACGACATTCTGCCGCAGTTGACGTTTTGCCTGTGTCTCCATACAGATATACCTACCAGATTTAAGTGTGGGGTTGTTGTAGTGTGTCTCCAGGACCACGTGGCCAGGGCCTTCCGACATTCCGAGGGGCATTCCAACATCAGTAGGTAGATAGAAGGGCTGCAGAAAGATAGTACTCATCATGGTGGGCAGGCTGTCTAAAGTGAGTGAGTGAGTGAGTGGGTATGGTTTTAGCAATATTCCAGCAATATCATTGCGGGTACTCATCATGTTTGGGTGGGCAGGCTGTCTAAAGTGAGTGAGCGAGTGAGTGGGTATGGTTTTAGCAATATTCCAGCAATATCATGGCGGGTAATCATCATTTTTGGGTGGGCAGGCTGTCTAAACTGAGTGAGTGGGTATGGTTTTAGCAATATTCTAGCAATATCATGGCGGGTAATCATCATGTTTGGGTGGGCAGGCTGTCTAAAGTGAGTGAGTGGGTATGGTTTTAGCAATATTCCAGCAATATCATTGCGGGTACTCATCATGTTTGGGTGGGCAGGCTGTCTAAAGTGAGTGAGCGAGTGAGTGGGTATGGTTTTAGCAATATTCCAGCAATATCATTGCGGGTACTCATCATGTTTGGGTGGGCAGGCTGTCTAAAGTGAGTGAGCGAGTGAGTGGGTATGGTTTTAGCAATATTCCAGCAATATCATGGCGGGTAATCATCATTTTTGGGTGGGCAGGCTGTCTAAACTGAGTGAGTGGGTATGGTTTTAGCAATATTCTAGCAATATCATGGCGGGTAATCATCATGTTTGGGTGGGCAGGCTGTCTAAAGTGAGTGAGTGAGTGAGTGGGTATGGTTTTAGCAATATTCCAGCAATATCATGGCGGGTAATCATCATGTTTGGGTGGGCAGGCTGTCTAAAGTGAGTGAGTGGGTATGGTTTTAGCAATATTCCAGCAACATCATGGCGGGTACTCATCATGTTTGGGTGGGCAGGCTGTCTAAAGGAGTGAGTGAGTGAGTGGGTATGGTTTTAGCAATATTCCAGCAATATCATTGCGGGTACTCATCATGTTTGGGTGGGCAGGCTGTCTAAAGTGAGTGAGCGAGTGAGTGGGTATGGTTTTAGCAATATTCCAGCAATATCATGGCGGGTAATCATCATTTTTGGGTGGGCAGGCTGTCTAAACTGAGTGAGTGGGTATGGTTTTAGCAATATTCTAGCAATATCATGGCGGGTAATCATCATGTTTGGGTGGGCAGGCTGTCTAAAGTGAGTGAGTGAGTGAGTGGGTATGGTTTTAGCAATATTCCAGCAATATCATGGCGGGTAATCATCATGTTTGGGTGGGCAGGCTGTCTAAAGTGAGTGAGTGGGTATGGTTTTAGCAATATTCCAGCAACATCATGGCGGGTACTCATCATGTTTGGGTGGGCAGGCTGTCTAAAGGGAGTGAGTGAGTGGGTGGGTATGGTTTTAGCAATATTCCAGCAATATCACGGCGGGGGACACCAGATATGGACTTCACACATTGTACCTATGGCTGTCTGAAGACGCAGGCTAACAAGTGCCACGTGCAGAGATCTTATCCCGGTGACGTTGGTCACAGAGAGTCCTTAGATTGGTGACTGCGTGTGGCAACTTGACTCTTAAGAGTTTCTTAAACCTCTTTCCTGCCCCGCAACGAGTTTGAGTTTGTTCAAAATTGCCTTTGTTCACCCATCAGAAAATGGGTACCCGGAGGGATAAGTCATATGACTATTAACCTTTTCTCGTCTAACAGGCAGGCCGGGTTATCTCATTATGTTGTATGAGCTTAGAGCATGGCCGTGAGGCGTGGGGTTCAGGACTATATAAGTGGCTTTTAGTGGAATAAATCCTGGAATTTGAAGCACAATCGTAAGTACACCAGATGAAGCTCACCTCTCCACCCACGGCCCAGGCTAGGAACACCGACCTGCACGACAACAGAGTCACGTCATTGATCTCGTAGCAGTGGTAGTCGAAGTTGTTGTATTTGTCGTCCAGCTCCGTCGGGCACGTATACACTACCATGTGGTGGACGATATCCTCGTTGCCAGGGGTGATGACTGGCTCGAACTGGGGATCGGATGGATACAATGGTGTATTGATTCAACGTGGTGACAAAACGTTACAAGGTCATTGTTAGATGGTTCAAGGGATCTCAAAGCCATTCAGTGTCATGGAAAGAGTAATCAGAGAGCCGGGGAGATGATTCAGTGTGTGAGGAGATAATTCAGTATAAGGACCGGAAGATTAAATGAAATAAGATAGTTCAGGACATGAGAAGATTGGTTAGTTTAATGAATCCATAACAAGAAAATCAAAATGATAACACCAGATGATGATAAAGATTAATTAGATTCAGTTTTATGACAAGCAGGAACACTGCAATGTCACGATGATTCACTGTAATGTCACGGAGATAACGTGTCATGATAAGATGATTCACTGTAATGACACGAAGATAACGTGTCTTGATAAGATGATTCACTGTAATGACACGGACATAACGTGTCTTGATAAGATGATTCACTGTAATGTCACGGACATAACGTGTCTTGATAAGATGATTCACTGTAATGTCACGGACATAACGTGTCTTGATAAGATGATTCACTGTAATGTCACGGACATAACGTGTCTTGATAAGATGATTCAATGTAATGTCACGGACATAACGTGTCTTGATAAGATGATTCAATGTAATGTCACGGACATAACGTGTCTTGATAAGATGATTCAATGTAATGGCACGGACATAACGTGTCTTGATAAGATGATTCAATGTAATGTCACGGACATAACGTGTCTTGATAAGATGATTCACTGTAATGTCACGGACATAACGTGTCTTGATAAGATGATTCAATGTAATGTCACGGACATAACGTGTCTTGATAAGATGATTCAATGTAATGTCACGGACATAACGTGTCTTGATAAGATGATTCAATGTAATGTCACGGACATAACGTGTCTTGATAAGATGATTCACTGTAATGACACGGACATAACGTGTCTTGATAAGATGATTCACTGTAATGACACGGACATAACGTGTCTTGATAAGATGATTCACTGTAATGACACGGACATAACGTGTCTTGATAAGATGATTCACTGTAATGACACGGACATAACGTGTCTTGATAAGATGATTCACTGTAATGACACTGACATAACGTGTCTTGATAAGATGATTCACTGTAATGACACGGACATAACGTGTCTTGATAAGATGATTCACTGTAATGACACGGACATAACGTGTCTTGATAAGATGATTCACTGTAATGTCACGGACATAACATGTCTTGATAAGATGATTCACTGTAATGACACTGACATAACGTGTCTTGATAAGATGATTCACTGTAATGACACGGACATAACGTGTCTTGATAAGATGATTCACTGTAATGACACTGACATAACGTGTCTTGATAAGATGATTCACTGTAATGACACGGATATAACGTGTCTTGATAAGATGATTCACTGTAATGTCACGGACATAACGTGTCTTGATAAGATGATTCACTGTAATGACACGGACATAACGTGTCTTGATAAGATGATTCACTGTAATGACACGGACATAACGTGTCTTGATAAGATGATTCACTGTAATGACACTGACATAACGTGTC